TTTGTACTTGTGTACTTGCTTTTAAAATATATATATATATATATATATATATATATATATATATATATATATATATATGGTGATAAAAATAAATTAGCTTATTAAAGTTATAACCAGAAAAAACATGAATAAGTAAATATGAATGATAAAAAATATTTCAAAATTGTATAAAGGTGTTGTGAACATAGAAGTTGAATTGCTAAATATTACATTATTACGAGCGATCACTAAATCTTGAAATTGAAGATAGCAAATAATTATGGTTTAGACTTTTCTTGTTTATTTAATATAAAATAAGAATAGGTTTTTTTTTTGGGTTATGTTTGTTCTTTTAATTTTTCATTTTATGGTCAAAGTTACGACTAATATTTTAGCAGATAAAAATAAGTTTTCTCAGGTTTATTTTTTATAAATACATGAATTGAATACACTCTTTATTTACAATGTACCAAAAAAAATTATTTACTAGACACGTAGTTAAAATATTTTTACATTGAAACTGTTCCATCATCATAATAAATTATTTTAATTTTATGAAATTGAAATCAAATGTACTTTTTTTTTTTTAGTTTTCAACCCATTTTTAACCAAAAATGAAAATTTTAACTAAAAAGATGAGAGATTAAATAAACGAAATGAAAGTGTTGATAAGCTGTGTCTTGTCATGATTTTGCTTTAAACCCTAAATAGTGAATTTGTCATGAATTGAAAAACGAAAGGTGGGACCCTGTTGGCATGCATGCATTAATTAATTACTATGCCTATGCCTTGGAGTCACAAGCACCATCATTCTCTGCCACCAAAGTTTGTATATCTGTCACAAAAAATACAAACTACAACTAGAGTCGCATATCAAGAGAATTTTTTTATACCACTGGTATTTTTTGTATCTTGATGTCGCATTTCTGGGGTATTTTTGTCCCCAAAACTCAGTTTTTTTTTTCCAGGTGTGAAATAACAAAGAAAATAGTAAGGTATTGGACAAATTATAGTTTTTTTTTACGAATTTATTGATAAATTAAACTGATGAGTAGCCAGGTAAATGATAAATTTTCCGCCCATTACACATGCCAAAAAGTTGGATCATTATTAATTGTTTTAAAATCACTGCTATTTTCTAATTTTCCTATTGATATTTTGGGAACGAAGGTTGAACTGAAGAATGAAATGATAAAAGACAAAAAAATAAAATAATATATATATATATACTCAAGTTGTTTATTTTCATGTTAATTCCAAATGAATTCACATAAGATCATAATATAACCAATAAGTTGTTAGTCACTAAAAATTTAAGTTCTTTAATCATTTATAAAGTTCATAAATATTTTGTTCCAATAATACAAATAAAAAAAGTGACACTACTCTTTGTTATTCCATTATTTTGCTCTCTTATCTAATAACTTGAATAACTTGACACTTTCACTTTCTTAATATTTTTGCTCTCTTTTCTTTTTGGATGAAATTTTACACATTACTTTCGCAAGTAGTAGTATAATTGGAAGCCAACACCCACCATAAAGAAAAAACAAAATATCTTGTCAAATTGATTTGTGTCTTTCTTTCTTTATTGTTATTGATCTTCATTTTGGGTTGTGATTGTGTGTTTGATCTCTAATCAAAATGACAGCTAGTAGGCTTACTAACACTAGTTAATAGTTATTGCATTCATATTGGGGTAGAATTTCAGACCAAAAACCAAATGATTTTGACAGAGAAATGATGCAAATGAATGGAACTAAAAGTAGGTAGTGACAGAAAGCTTTTAATCCCACTTGTTAATGCTTACAAGATATGGTAAAAGTGAATTATTCAATCAAGCGCAGCAAAGCAGTTTGAACTTTAAAAGGTCTAAAGGAACAAAATGAATACAATGTACAAGACCCTTCTCCTCACTTAACTTTGCATGGTAAAATATAGTTGAATAATAACTGAACACAAACAAAAAAGGTGAAAGAAAACAGCTTTGTGATTTGTGACATTTTCAAAGTGCCGAAAGATCTCAATTAATTAAGAAATAACTACATATCCTGAATATGCAAGTAGCAGTAGTAGAGTTATCCTCCTTAGGAATGTCCAAGGCTCTAAAAACTATTTCAGGGTCCAACAATGAGTTTAAGTGGTGGAACTAAAGCCAGTGTTTATGGCAGATGAATGCGTTGGCCTGTTATGAGATTCAGCACTGAAAATCAAAACAAAGAAGCAACGAAGCTATCAATCAAATAGTTGTATATGTGCAAAGCTTCATGCCAACAAATGAGAGTCTTGTGCCTGTGAAATCTGAATACTTTGGATTAGGGAAATCATTTCATAATTAGAAAATACAAAGAAGTAGAATGATGCCAATTCCTAGCCTTCCAAATGTGAAACATACAAACAGGTTTAAGTCACAGTATATCATACATTGATTCTATCAGATTTGAGTATTCGCTTTTAATCGAAAGATTAGAAATTAAATGAAAAATCTTAGTCTGCATGACAATGATGATTATTAACATGAATACTCAACTAATTGCGGATGATAAAAAGCCTGGATCTTGAGTCACTCCAGGAATTGCAAGGATTTCAGCACCCACCTGTGATTTTTCTTTGCATTTGAGGGATATGATGATGGCAACAAGTAATGCTTGAATGAATAAAAATAAACAAAATCAAGAGCGAAAAAAGGGCAAAATAAGACCGAAAATCGAACATCCGAACATGCTTACATATTCCTTTAATAAAGTATTTTGAGTTCAAAAATGTGAACAAAAAGAAAACATTGTCCATAACATACCGACAGACAAATCTATATCCATATCGTTCTACGCACTCGAATCGTACCAAAGAACATTGCGAACCACAGTTATGGTCCATCACGTTGTTCGTCATGCATAAAATAATAAACATTGAAAATGTTTAAATGATCCTTCTCGATTGAATGAATATGTTTCCATTGAAATCTGTTAAAATTGTAATACAGTTAGTGCAAGAGAAATCTCGCCCATTGATTTTACCCGAAAAATCGTGCCATGGTGGACAATGGAACACCTAAACAAGCACTAGAGCAATTGTCACCTATGATTAGACTTGAACACCGCAGCTACCAATATGGTTGCACTATCTGATTAGCCTGAAACGGTACCCACTTTAAAAATTAGTTACCCATTTCTTAATTCTTACCCATTATTTATTACTCAAAAACTCTTTAATTTCTCCCTAAATTGTAGACTAACCGCTGATATGTTGTTCGTTAACGAGTTAGACCCATATATGTTAATATAAATATAACCGCGGCAGCCACAACACCAGTCACAGAAAACTATTAAACCATTTTAGTCATCGACTTTTACATCACATGTCAGCTAATCAATGGCCTTGTATAGTTTGTGTTTTCTGTGATATTTTTGGTGTCGTGGCATTAATTACTCTAAATTAGTCCGAGCTTGTTTAGAGCATGGGGTCAGAGGTGGATGTGTAGCGTGTTTGAATATGTATTTTGCATGTGAGCGCAAAAACATGCAAAGTATTCTTAGAAGCTTGTTTTTCCCACTGAAAGCTTACCACCAACAATCATAAACTGTAGAATCATAAGAACCAACATCAAATCACACATTTTTGGGTCTTTCTTTAATTTTATTCATTCAACTTTCTCCCTCTCATTTTACAGAGAAGGAGAAGAAACAAACTGTCTGGGTAAACTAAAAAGATCTTTCCCTTCAAATGGAGAACTCCACTCCCGAGAACCAGTAGATGTTTCAGCAGAAGCTACTCCACCATCTTGCAATCCAGGCATGGGAATAGTGCTCCTATTTGAGGGCACTGATCTCATTGATGATTGAGCAACAACTCCAGAAGCATTTGAGTCATACATCTGAGCATTATTCTTAGAAAATGGTGAAAGTCCTAGCCATAAACCATTTGACCTTGGTGAAGCTAAACTTTTATCCAAGGACCAGTCTATGTTAGTATAATCAAACTGGATTGACCCACCAGTGCTCCAGTCTACTGGAGAAGATGCCCCTGATGGGCCTGCTGATCCTAGTCCAGAAAAGAGCCCTAGAGAAGTAGCAGCAGCAAGCGTTGGAGTTGCACCTGTTCTATTCCAAATGCCATTATTCCCTCTGCAGGTTGCTTGGTGATCTACTGAATTACTACTACCACCAACAAACTGTTGTTGAGGTTGATACTGAAGTTGGTGATACATTTGATTAGAACTGAGATAGTCTGGAGTGAGGCTTCTAGTGCTAGGAGCATGAGATAAAAAGCCATTAGATCTCACAGCCTCAAGACTGTTAGTTGGATACCAACCAGCAGCTATTCCGGGAGGTGATGAGCTCATGCTTGTGGCTGGAACTTGCTTTACATTTACAGTTTGGGGCCGCTGCATCATGACTAATGGTTCCCTGGCTACTCCAGGTTGAAGGTTCTTATAATCACCTCCAACAGACATATATCGTGCTTCAGACTTAGCAGGTGGGGGTGACATTTGCAACGGTGAAGCCAATGAATAAGAAACAGATGGATTAGATCCAGCATTTGGCCACCTTTTATCAGCTTGTACGGTAGCTTGTTGAGTCTTTGCCCATTCAGACTTGGGGATTCTCTTTAGAGGTTGCATATTTCTATTACTGGATTCTGAAGATACTCCAATTGTCATTGCAGCCTTTGTATAGTTAAAATCCTTGTCATCTTTTTTCGGTTGTGGTGAAGGGACAGGTTTTGTTTGTGACCTCGAGCTCTGACTTGCAACTCCTGACTGTTTAACATTGTTAACAATAGGAGGATCACCAATTTCCTCTGGCTTTGGTGGAGCAGATGGTGGATCAAGTTTCATCTCTCTCAAGGTCTCTGCAGCCTTATCAAGATTGCCTTCACAGTTAACAATCACTCTTTCAACCTCCTGTTTCGAGCAATCATACCTGTGTACCATGTCTGCAATCCGAGCAAGCTCATCTGATATGTCAATTTTCAAATTGCCCCTACCTAGGTTTGTATCCTTGTGACCATCTGCTTCTTCACCACCTTCAAACAGCCATGCTACTGATTCCTCCACCCTACCTTCATTCAATATCAGTGCCATTGTAGCCCGTTCCTGAGAAAATCCCATTGCCACAAGCTGTTGAGAAAGTGCCTCAAGTTTCCTTGACATGAGATAACCACTGCACCGCTCATGCAATTCCTGTGCTCTCCTTTCCTTCTGCCGTTGATGCTTTTTCTCATTCTTCTGGCGGATTTTCTCTCGCTTGTCATTATCAGCTCCTGGTACTGATTCCGGTCGAACAGGAGCACTAGAACTTTTCTCTTTATGTTCTTCGGACTCACCAGACCAACTGCCATTGTTAGAAACAGAATCATACTCAACACCAGCAACCACTGAGTTGACAGGATGGTCATCTGTCTCATCTATGTTCCGAAAACGACCATTAGAATTTATTGGTGAGGTAGGCGTTGGTAACACATCTAGAGTATGGAATGTTCCTGACAATGGGTTATATGCACTGGCTGGAACACCGGCTACTGCATTACTAGAACCTGTAGGCTTTGCAGAAGCTTTTTGAGCTTCCTTGCCAGCCTTTCTGTCTTTAGACTTGGATCGGGATGCAGGAGACATATCGTTAGAAGGCAGTGGCCCTGTAACATTTGAAGAAAAAAAGTTACATCACATTGTTTTTCAATTGGCTGCTTAATCAATACAATATTAAATGAATCAACAAAGACAAATAAAACCTATTGGTAAATATTTTCTGTTCATTCAACAAAAAATATAATAAATCTGTTCACATAAGGATCATCATATGTGTAAGGATACTTTTGGCAAACAACTGAACAAGCAACCAATCACAAATTTGGGGAAACTTGCGATAAAGCCAATGTGAATGAAGACTAAATTCTATTTGCTAGTTTGAAGTACAACACCCTACTGTGGGGGGGGGGGGACAAATGAACAAAGGCAAAAAGAAAGTGAACTAGTCAAAACAAAAAGTACAAGTTTAAATAATTACACAAAATTAAATGGTTTATATTTCCCCTTTAACAAAGTTTCAGGCAAAATCTTTGAGGAAAATAAGAAAAGGGAAGGAAAGGATTCCCTGCCCTTGCACTTTAATATATTTTAAGAAAGAGAATTAATCACACAGGAACTTCTTTTATGAATGGATGATATTTAACTTCATCCATGTGTGCAGCTATAAAAATTTATACAACTACAAATAACCTATCAGACACCAAAAAACTACTCCGTCTCTATAAACACAAGGGCATGGCACAGCCACCAGAATTGAGAAAGCATCAGTTGAATTAGCCAGAAGGATGCACAACACTAGTTATTAGTTTTTCACACACAACTATTGAAAATACAAGAACAGTGTGCAAGCGTCACATAGCCCAATATAATTTTTTTCACAAAAGTTCAGCCATTCAGTCACGCCCAAACTTTCAAATAATCAACTTTAAGACAACACCACCATTCCATGTCCTCCCACACATTAAACATAAGAAAAGAAACGATCTTCTAAGGATAGACACACTCGCCAAAGCTCCTAGACTAACTGAACCAAAAAACCTAACATTCTTCCAAAAGGCCAATTCGACACTCCCAAATTTTCACAAGATCATCCCACCCCTTCCAAAAATTCAAATTCTTGGAACCAACCATGCCACCAGAATTCCCCATAACACTAATATCCCCATCCAGAATTCCGGCAAAAACAAACATGTAGCGAATGGGCACTCAATACAAAAAAAAAACCTACAATCACACACACCCAATTCAAAATTAGCAAAACAAGACACAATCAAGGTCAAACGAAACAAGAATCAGCACGAGTCTCACGCTATTCCCATCTCAAGGATCCAAACAGAGCCGCAATTCCCAAATCCCGCGAAAGGAAGAAATGCGGAATTCGAAATATACTGTTACCCACGATTGCACAAAAACGCGAATCCAAAACGCGGTTTCTGGGTCCCGACACAAAAAAACAACGAAGGAGGCGAGAGAAGATCGTAACTGGTGCGGTTTGAGATTGAAATAGCGAAGAGCGAAAAAGTGGAATAAGAAAAAGAAGGAACCTGGGGTTTGGGTTGATGCTGACGGTGGAAGGATCGCTGGTGAACGGTGGAATCGTTAGAGAGAGAGAAGGAAGACAGAGAAAGATAGATAGGTTTTTCGAGGCTCAAACTGAATTTGGCAGAATTAGGGTTTTGAAGAAACAGAGATCTGAAAATGATAAAAACAACCAAATAGTTTTAAAAATATATATAATTATAAAAAGAGAAAAAAAGGAAACAAAAATATGTTCCATTTCCCAAGCCTCTCTCATCATACATTAAATTAATTGCATTCTTGTCACCCCTTCTTATTACTTTAATTTAAGACTTTTTTGCATGTTTTTTTGTTCAGATTAATTTGTATTCTTTTTTACCATAACACTGTTATTAATTATAGATCTTTGTAGTTGACATCATTTTTTAAATAAATTTTTATGAAAGCAAATAAAAATATCAAACATAAGACCGTTTACCGAGAAAAATATTTATTTTATATATGTTCATTAGTCACTTTTTAAATTTTATTTCATATTTTAATTTCAAAAATATTCTTAAAACAATAAATATTGTACTATATATAATATATTAATTAAAATATTTTAAAATAATAGAATGTAACTTTCAATTTTTAAATATCTTTGTGTTTTTTTTTTCGGTGTAAAAAAATCCTTATCTATTATGATAAAAAAAAAGTTAAATATATTTTTAAAATTTTTTTTATAGTTTTACTTACTTTGTTTTAATTTTATATTTATTTTTAAAAATATTTTTAATCTTTATAGTTTAGGATATATTTTTTGTTTTTTTTATAAATTTTTATCTTTTTAATTTCTATCATTAATTTTTTTATAATATTATTTCTTTGGTATTGACATGATAACGATATTAATTAAATTTTATATATTTAATATTTAATTTATTTTATTAAAATTATTTTAAATTAGACATTTCAACATGTCTTTTTTTTACCTTCATTTACTACAGTTATTGTTAAGATATTTTTTTATCTCTCACAAAATTAAAGATTTTTATTACATTAATACAAAACAAATAATATTATAAAAAAAATTAACAATAAAAATTAAAATATAAAAAAAATTATGAGTATAAGAATTAAAAGAATATATTTTAAATTATAAGGATCCAAAAAATTGCAAAAATAAATATTAAGACTAAAAATGTTTATTTTAAATTGTAAGAATTAAAAAGTAAAGTAAGTAAAACTATAAGAATTAAAAAAGTATTTTAATCTAAAAAAATTATATATTAATTTCTATATATAATACATGTTACACAAAAATATTTTTAGAGATTTTTTTTAATGAAATTATTTTTAAAAATTATTTTAACTTTATAAAAATGCTAATTTTATATAAACTCATAATAAAATTAAATAAATTTAATTAAGTCAATAAAATTAGGTTTTTCGATTTATATATAAGTGAACAGAAAGTAACTATTGTTGTACACATACTAATTCTCGATTTTTCTTAAACCCACGATTAATTTAAAAAGTTTATTAGGAATTAGGAACTATTTTATTTTTTATATATTACAATCCATTCAGTGCATGTTTATATTTCAGCTGAGAGAATTCAAAAAAAAAATATTCTTAATTAAATCGCAAAAAAATATTCTTATTTTGTTTCGTTAATTAAATTTTAGAATTGTGTTTTTATCCACTTTTTTTCAGTAGTTATTCTTTTATACATTTGGACTTGAAGATGAAATTTCCTATTACATGATCTTTTGTGTTGGCAAAAATAACTAGAATGAAAAAAATAATTAAACAAACAAGTTTATATTGGTTTGTCTCACAACATGATGAGACTACGTCGACTTGGTAATAACTACCAAGAGTTCCACTATGTTACAGTTTTAATATAGCAAGTGTTTAAACTTTAGAGTAAGACTACAATTAGTGTGTGAAACATTTTTTTTTATTTCTTCTTTGTCCTTTAGCTTTTTTTTTTAGATTCATTTTGGTTATTTATCTTTTATATTTGAAATAATTTGCCCCTTTAAAACAACGATTATTTTCAATTTTATGACATGATTTTGAAATAATTTATCACTGATTCAAAATGTGAAACTTGTAACATTAAATATACCTATATGAAAATTATGAAATGTGTAACAGTGTGAGTTTTAATGTTCTAAATTATTGATTATTGGTGTTAATGTTGTTGTTTTAGAACTCAGAGGATTTAGGAGCTTAGATAGTTAAGTTGTCCTTAAGTCAGTTTTAGGTAGAGTTAGTTGAATTAGTTAGAATAAGGATATATAAAAATAAAATAAAATTTAAGACGCGGGTCTCATAAGTTCATATTTTAAGAAAAAGGTAAAGAAAAGCTAAAGAAAAAATCTTTATAACTCAATAAAAACCCTTTTTAATTCCTCATTCATAGATCCATCTTCTACTCCTCCTACAACTAAATAAGTGAGTTAATCGTTGATTTAAAAGCTTGCAGAGTCAAGAATCTAAAGTCTTAGGGTCATGCTGAATATTTTTCTTCTCTACTTTTTAGTTTGGATTGACTAGAAATAAGGGGAACTAGTGATTCGTTGATTCTTGCTTGAAGTTGATGTTCTTTGTTGAGTTTTTCTTTTGATTTCTGTTTTTATATTGAAATTTGAAAGGAGATAATGATTTGTTGAATTATGGTTTTGGTTGAGTTTTGAAGGAAATTTGGTGATTCTTGTTTAAGAGTGGATGCATGTTGTAATTGATGATGGAATTGTGCTTTTCATGTTGCTCAGATGTTGTATACTTTGTTGCATGTGATTTTGGATTGAGTTTCAAGTAGATTGGGTAATAATTCACTTTCTTTATAAAGTAAAAACTAATAGCATGTCGGATGCACCTTCAAGGTATTGAGTGTGACTTAAACCAATGGGCTTTATCCTACTTAGGCTAGGTGTATGATTGGTGGCACTAGGTGTGAGGAGAGACCTTCTGCCTGATTGGGGTTAGGTGCGGGTTTTGCCATACCAAGTGCAAGAGAATGAGAGATTTTTTGCCTCAGCCACATTAGATGTGAGTAGTTTTGTGCCAAATGTAGGCGAGAAGGAAGTCCCTTGCCTCAATGGTGTCAAGTGTTAGGTGTCTATAGGATGACGTTGAGCACGAGTTATGTGATTTTAAAAGTGATGTTTAAGAACTTTTTATGATTGATAAACGATAATTAAGAATTTTTAATTTTTTTTCATCAAGTTTATAACATATTTGGTTTGAACTTCAACTGCATTCAATAATTTTCTTTGAAGTGAATCTTATGAAACAAGTTTCAAGTCTTAAGTAAGTAAAAGATAGATTTAAAAAGACTAAATTAACTTAAATTTAATAGATAAATGACAAACAAACAATTTAAAAGATAAATGATTAAAATGAATCTAAACAATAAAATAAAGTACGAAGAGTATAATTTAGCTTTTATCTAAAATTTATTATTAGATTGAAAAATTAAAATATATAAATCAAAACAAGTTAAATCAAGTTACGAGCTAAATAAAATATTTAATAGTTGAGGTAATTTAAACTCCCTCCTATTTGGTAGGGTAAAAAATGGAGGAAAACTTTGTGTTCTCTGCGACCACTACTCGTTCTGACCAGGAGATGGGTGAACCACCTGATGGAGGTGGGGGAGTCAACCGTAACATGATTCAAGCTGGTGTGTCCTTCAGGGACAAAATGATGGGAGGGAGATCCCCCCCACCAATGATGGAGGAGGTTGATCTTGTGGGACAAAATCTTATGAAGATAGTGTATGAAGAAGGCAACAGACTTAAACCCAAGGTATATCTCGACGATGCGGTCTTTGAGAAGTTGTGCCTCCCTTGGCAGGACGCTCTCATAGTAAAGTTGCTTGGAAAGACTATTGGGTTTATGACAATGAGGGAGAGGCTGAAACAAGTATGGAAACTCCATAGTGGTTTTGATCTAATGGACGTGGGAAATGGCTTCTTTGTGGTCAAGTTTGAAGAGGAGTCAGCACGAGAGAAGGTTATGACCGGGGGACCTTGGATGATTTTTGATCATTATCTCTCGGTGCAACGATGGGAGCCAGACTTTGTCTCTCCATCCACACAAGTTAACAAAACACTTGTTTGGATCCGCTTCCCTGGCTTAAATCTAATGTTCTTTGACAAAAGCTTTCTTCTCGGTTTAGCATCAGCAGTTGGTGTTCCGAGTAGGGTGGATATGCCTACAGTCAATGTGGCCAGAGGGAAATTCGCTAGAGTTTGTGTTGAAATTGATTTGACTGTGCCAGTGGTTGGAAAGGTGTGGTTCCGTGACCATTGGTACAAGGTGGAATATGAGGGATTACACTTGATTTGTGCTAAATGTGGCTGTTATGGACATCTGAGTAGAGACTGTGCTACACTGCCGCCTAATCCTTCCAATGTCCAGTCTCCGGTGGTAGAGGGAGGCGCTCCAGTTCAGGAAGTTACGGTGACGGGGCTTAATCAGGACGGAAATCAAGGGAATGATTCTGAGATTAGTAAGGAAGGGACGGATATCACAACGGGAGATCCGGAGGACGCTCTTCATGGAGAGTGGTTGGTAGTTCGAAGAAGGAATAAAGGGGGAAAGGAGAAAATTAAGGGTGTGGCTGCTGAGAGAACTAAGGACGGGATTGCGGAGAAAAATAAGGGGGTATCTCCACAATCATTTAACATTAAAGATTCCAGTCAACATAAGATATTGCAGCAGCATGACAATATGGGAACTAAACCGTTTTTGGCTGTTACTAACATTAACTCCCCCTTTAGTAGTGCACAAGATGGAACAAGGATGGTCAAAGGAAAGAAGCGGGCCCGCAGGGAGAATTTACATGTGACAAAAAATAAAGAGAAGGAGAGGCACGTAACTATTAAAGAAAAGAGACCACCCATGCATGTGACCAAGGAGAGTGACGTGCGACTCAGTCCTGAGTCATCCACGGTGATGGCGAACTCAGTGAGTCAACTCGCTATAAAAGGTGACACTGTTATGTTAAATGAAAACATAAATGACAAGGCTAACAAGAAGGATGTGATGCCAGGCTTCGACTTAGGAACTGGGATAGTGATATCTCCGGATCTTCTTCGTGGCACCATGTCGCAAGGACCGAAGCAGACTTCCAAGGGTGGGAAAGCTCTTGAGTCAAAATTGAAGAAAGGAAATAGTGGGCCACAAGCATCTTCCCAAGTGAATTTATCAAAGGGGGAAGGCACCGTGAGTACGAAAGTAGCTGATGTAGGAATGCACTGGGATCCTGGTCAGTAGAAGACAGTGTTTTCTTTCTTCACCTTTATGCTGTTGTTTATGATGGTATTCAGAGATTTTAAAATCATTTCGTGGAATGTTCGCGGGGCAGCCAATACTGAGGGTAAGCGCCACGTAAGGAACTTGGTGAGCCAGTTCAAACCTTCGATGTTTATTGTAGTTGAGACTCATATCCAGTTTGCTAGTGCGAGTCGCTTTTGGAATTCCATGGGATACTATCCAGGGGCGGTGGTGGAAGCTCAAGGGCACTCAGGTGGTATTTGGGTCTTGTGTAGTGTGCATGCGGGTGTTGTTGTGGACCTGATAGACCATTTCCATCAATGTGTTACTGTTAGTATCACTAGGCAGGACTCTACATGGTTATGCAGTGCGGTGTATGGAAGTCCTATTCCTTCCATTCGTGAAAATCTTTGGTCTCATCTGATTACTCTGCGTCAAACTATGGATCGACCGTGGCTGTTGATTGGAGATTTTAATGAGATCCTTCTCCCGTCAGAAGTCAGTGGGGGTCGTTTTAGTAGAAATGGAGCAGATAAGTTTCAAAGGGTACTTGACTACTGTAGTTTGATGGATGTTGGTGCCACTGGTTCGAGATTCACTTGGTTACGTAGGGAAAGGTTCTCTCGGTTAATTATGAAGAGACTTGACAGAGTTTTGGTTGACTATGAATGGCGACATGCTTTCCCGGAGGCGTATGTTGAGAATCTTTGCCGTATTCACTCGGATCATTCCCCTCTTCTTGTGAGATGCAGTGGCTTCGTGCCATCTCGTGACACGAGACCGTTTCGTTTCCAAGCAGCGTGGACTCTCCATGAGGAATTTGATTCGGTGGTTAATGATGCTTGGGGTGTTGGTCAGGGACTTGTTCTGGACTCTCTTGCTCAAGTGAAAGATGAGGCATTGCGGTTTAATGAGGAGAAATTTGGTAATATATTCAGAAATAAAAGGAGGGTGGAAGCGAGATTGACAGGTGTCCAGAGGGCGCTAGAATCTTGTCGCTCTAGTGATATGCTGATTTTAGAGAAAAGTTTACAAAGAGAACATGCTAAGATCCTTGCTCAAGAGGAGATGTTGTGGTACCAGAAGTCTAGAGAGAAGTGGGTGAAATATGGTGATAAGAATACGAAATTCTTCCATACTCAAACAATAATCCGGAGGAGACGTAATAAGATTCAAGGTCTATTCTTAGAAGATGGTTCATGGTGTACGGATGAAGCTACTTTGAAAGCAGAAGCCAATAGATTCTACAGGAACTTGTTTACTTCTCCAATTGGATCTACCCCGGAAGCTCTTGCTCATGTTCCACTTCCTTGTCTAAACAACGAGGAAAGGGACGCTTTAATGAGAGATGTTACTGTCGAGGAGGTTAAGAATGCGGTAATGTCGATGAAATCCTTTAAAGCGCCGGGTCCAGATGGATTTCAAGCAATATTTTTCAAGAAATACTGGGGGGTGGTGGGTCAGGATGTTTGGAAACTAGTGGCTGAGGCTTTCACAACCGGCTCGCTTGACTCCCGTTTGTGCGAGACGTTACTGGTGCTTATTCCAAAGGTGAATGACCCAACTGATCTTAAACAATTTCGGCCGATTGGTTTGTGCAATGTGATTTTTAAAATAGTTACCAAGGTCATTGTCAATCGCTTGCGACCGCTAATGCATAAGCTTATTGGACCGCTTCAAAGCAGCTTTGTCCCTGGGAGAGGCACAGTAGATAATGCAGTTGTAGCGCAGGAAATCTTGAGTTATATGAAGAAGTCTAGAGATAGAGTTGGGACAGTGGCTCTTAAAATTGACATGGAGAAGGCGTATGATAGGGTTGGATGGGAATTCCTTCGAAACACTTTGAATGACTTTGGTTTTCCTACTATATTTATCTCCCTTGTTATGCAGTGTGTTTGCTCCTCCAAGCTGTCGGTTTTGTGGAATGGGGAGAGGCTAGAGGGGTTTAGTCCATCTAGAGGCCTTCGTCAGGGAGACCCTATGTCACCTTACTTATTTGTCCTTTGCATGGAGAAATTGTCAGCTCTTATTTCTCTTAGAGTCGAAGAAGGGAGGTGGTGCCCAGTCAGTGTCGCTCGGGGAGGACCGCGCATATCTCACCTTCTTTTTGCGGATGATGTCTTGCTTTTCTGTAAAGCTAAGAGTAGTCAACGCCATCTGATTGTTGAGGTTCTAGAGGAGTTCTGTGTCGCGTCAGGCATGAAGGTGAATTATGAGAAATCGAAAGCCTATGCCTCCGCCAAGACCCCTGCTTCAGTGATTCGTGACTTCAGTGCTACCACTAATATGCAGTTTTGTAATGACCTGGGGAAGTATTTGGGGTTCCCTCTTGTACCTGGAAGGATGGGTCGAAGTCATTTTCTGCCGATGGTTGAAAAGCTTCATTCTAGACTTGCATCGTGGAAAAGGAATATGCTAAATAGGGCGGGTAGAATCTGTTTGGCTCAATCGGTACTGACATCTTTGCCTACTTATACTATGCAAACTTTGTGGTTACCGCAAACCATTTGTAATGACATTGACAAGGTGTCCAGGAATTTCATTTGGGGGAAGGAGGGTGCTACTAGAAGCTTGAACCTTGTGAGTTGGAAGAAAGTAATAGCGCCAAGGAGGTATGGGGGGCTTGGAATTCGTGATACCAGGATGGCCAATATCTCTCTACTTGGGAAGCTTGTTTGGGGGCTACTTGTTGGTAAACCTTCTCTTTGGCGGGAAATATTGGAGCACAAGTATCTAAGGGGGAGATGTATTTTGTCTTTAACCAGCACGGGCTCTATGTCTAATATTATGAGAGGGATTGTTCGGGCTACACATGAAATTAGGGATGGGTTTAAGATTCGGTTTGGAGATGGTAACTCGTCCTTTTGGTTTGACTCATGGTCCGCTATGGATCGTCTTTGTAACCATGTGCCTTATGTGCATATTTCTGATACTGAAAGGAAGATCAATGACGTGTGGAAAGATGGGTCGTGGGATTGGAATAGCCTGTACACCTTGGTACCAGATAACATCAAGGACATGCTAAACCAGGTTGATATAATGGGCTTTGGCAATGTTCCAGATGTTTGGAGTTGGACAGCTAGAACGGATGGGGAATACTCCGCAGCGAGTGGTTATAAGTGGTTGTGTAACAAAAACCGTCCTTTGCCTGCTGAAGGTGAGTGGCTGTGGATTTGGAAGATTAAGTGCCCTGAGAAGGTGAAAGTCATAATTTGGTTGATGCTTCATGTGGCAGTGCCTACTAATTTGTTCAGGTTCAACCGTGGCTTGGCTCTATCCCCCCTTTGTGTTAGATGTGGCGAGGATACTGAATCGGTTTTACATTGCATGCGGGACTGCAAGTACAGTAAAGCGCTTTGGCTACAGTTTGGCTTCTCAAATATAAACTTCTTCAATCATGAAGTGAGAACTTGGATTCAAAGGGGGGTGAATAGCGCTCAATGTAGCAAGTTCTTGGCTGTTATGTGGTGGACATGGCGGTGGCGTAATATGGACGTGTTAGGAGGAGAAGAGTGGAATATGGAGCAGGTCCGTTATAAGATTAACTCCACACTGTGTGATTGGAACAATGCTTTCGCAGGCGAGCAAGTGCATTCTCATGAGGTGCAGGAAGTCACATGGTGTAAGCCAACTCCCCCAATGGTGAAAGTCAACGTAGATGGTAGTTATAAGAGTGGGGATCTCTGCGTGGGCTTTGGAGGAGTTATTCGGGACCACGAAGGGACTTGGAAGACGGGGTTTTCTGGGCGGCATCAAACCACATCAGTGCTGCTGGCCGAGTTATTGGGATTGAAACATGGATTGTTGCTTGCGTGGGATGCTGGTTTTAGAGAGGTGCAATGTGAAACAGATTCTTTGGAAGCCTTTAGGCTGGTGTCTATGGCACATGTTCCCAAATTTCACAACTTTGGGGTGGTTATTCAGCAGATACGTGAATTGCTAAGGCGTGATTGGAGGGTAGCACTTTCTCATATTCTGCGTCAGGGGAATGCTTGTGCAGATATCTTGGCAAAGATGGGGGGGTCTCTTGATAGGCCTTTTGTTGTCTTTGGCTCTCCTCCTCATTCGTTATGTGAAGCTCTACGTGATGATGCTAGAGGACGTTCCTTCCTTCGTTTGTAGTTTCTTTTAATTTTCCAGTGCACCAAAAAAAAATAAAACGTTATAATCAAAACAAGTTAAATCGAATTTGACTCCTTCTCAGTCCTATTATAAATTAAAGTTTGTATGAAAAAATATAAAATATAAAAATAATCAAATTCAATCCTAAGTATTAATATTTAATATAAATGAATGGATTAAACCAATTGTGTCAAATTTGGGAGAACTTATAACTCCAATTCACGCGATAACAACGTAGCTTAACACTGAGAAATAATTTCCTATAATTCATCCGTAACTCTCGTTGAGAATCAAAGATTAAAATCATGAAACTAATTAATGTCTATGGTAACATATTTTCAAGAATAAATATTTAGGGCATATGTTCAACAAAGAAATAAAACAAAAATTTGCCCTAACCTTGACTTAGACCAATTACTCGAGGTTATACTTTGATTGGAGCATAGACATTCTTTGAACATCAAAAGTTAAAAAGATGAGTAAATTACTCAAAGTAAAATCTTTTTACCGTGTTTATAAATTTTTAAATTATACTTTTTTATCTCTTACTTTAAACTGGATTTTTAATATAAAAAAATTATGTAATATTTAATTAAGATAATAACGATTATTTTAAAAATACTATAAAATGTGGTGATATTTATTTAGGATAATAATGATTTTTTTAAGAGTATGTCAAAATTTAGTAATATTTAACTAAATTTTTTTTTCATTCACAAATAAGTCTATTAGTATTAAAAAAATCTAAATATTTCAATAAATTATTTTGAATGATAAATTTTGTGAAACTTATTATTATTATTATTTACATACAATTCGTTTGTCTAATAATCTTACTAAAAATTTTAAGGATTCATGCGATTTTTTTTTTCTATTTTTTTTTCTATCTTCAATCTTTTCTTTTACCTCTCTTTTTCCTATCTCATCGTCTCATTTTTCTCTATGTTTATCTCTCTCTCTCTGTTATTATTTAACTAATTTTAAAAAATAATTAGAGATATAAATTCTTTATGTTTGATTTTTTTACTTGATATAAAATTTTAATTTTGAAAACAATTAATAATAAAAATAATATTGAGATAAAAAATATTATTCTATTTATAATAATATTCTTTTATAAAAAAATCGTTAAAACAACTTATTAATTGAATCTATAGTAATATGTTAATAAATGTAAACAGATAAATATTGCTAAAATATTAAATATAGCTGTGTAAAAATGAAGGAGTGTGATAAATAACGTAGGCAAGCACTAACATTAATGAGTTTTAAATAAAGGAAGGTTGTTGGAAGGAAATAGATATAAAATATAATTTTTTTTCTATTTTAATGCTGCATTTTTAATGGAATTTCATTAGAGTTTGTATTTAATAACAATAACATTATCATGATACATTCTACAACAATAGAAAAGTTATTAATTTAAATTATTAAAATCATATAATAAATATTATTAACATGAATAATTTAATTTTTTTTATTAAATGTAATTAGATCGGTTAAATTTCTTTAGATTCTATTATCATTGTAAAGACTCCATGGATGACTATAAAGAATAAAAGTCAATTAGATCTATTTTTGATGCATGGTTAGTGAATCGAATTAGTCTTTTGTCAATTTTAGGATATTACAATCATGTCTATGAAGAAAAAAATAATTAATGTTTGAGTTAATATTTTTTTTTGGATGAATGTATTTGAGTTATTATGAATTTATTTATTAACAGTAAATTTCTAATGGAAAAAGTTACCATAATATATAATTAATTTTTCTTTAAGATTTAATTGATTAATTAAAACAAAACACATACTCATTACAAAAATCTTTATTCCTATAATTAAATATAATGATATATTTTCACGAATTCTAAAATTAGTGTAATTTAAACAAAATAATAATCAATCACTATATATTAAATATATTAACATCTATCTTATACAAAAGTATTTTTAGAAAAAAAATTTTAGGAGAGAATTTTTAATTTTTTTTATCTAATTTTAATTTTATTTATTATAATTATTTACAAATTAAATATTAATATTTTAAAATAAATTATCAATAAATAAAAATAATCTTTT